GGTGTAATAAAGGATGAGAGATGATTGCTTCTCATGGTGCAACCAAGATAAAAAAAAAAAAAACTTATATTATTTTATTAGTCCTAAATTTTAATCCTATAAAATTTATCCTTTTAACATTATTCTTAATCTTGAAGAGCATAAAAATTGACCTAAAGACATCCTAGCCATCCAACCAAAAACATATACAAAATAATACTAGTTAATTAAAACCAATGAAGGGCTTTTCTAGGTCAAAGCTTAAAAATGCAATAAATGTAATATTTTATAATTAATTTTCATAAAAGAGCACGAAAGTTGATTTTATTATTACAAAAATTGCCAAGTGAGCCATTTAAATTGGCCAACATTTATATATATATTTTTATAAAAATTAATTGTAAAAGGGTGCATATATAATAGCATCTTAAAAAGTGCTCTAAGAATATATATAAGAAAAATAGATAAATAAATATAAAATTTTATTGATTAATTCTTATATTTATAGTGAGTTATAATTCACTCACACATAATTCTCACACATCACTTATATTAAATTTTAATTACTTATTTTTTTTACTATAAATAGTTGGGGTTTATTTACTCTTAGTCTTATTTATTAAAAATAATTATTTTTATTTAAAAAATTATAATAATCTTAATTATTTATAATAAAAAAATAAATATAACCAAAATTTTATGTAAATATGCTCCTAGATGAGAAACATCTTCTCTAATATTAAAAAGCCCGCTCCACCTAAGAGTCCCTATTCAAGCCAGCCAACTCTTTCTAAAAAATATAACAAGGAAAAGGAGGGGCTAATGTGGTTGGATTTCTAGTTGCACAGAACAGTCGAACACTCATCCCTCGCTTACTAAAACAGGGAACAATTCCTTATACCAATACAGTTTCTATTATCATTATTTTTATCATCTGCTTAATTCCCCTCCGTAGAATTGGAACCTGGTGGGTGGCTGGGGGTCAAATTCAATGGATAAAGGTAGGAGTCGGGCTTTGCTCATTATTTTGTCATTAAAACATAGTTGGTAGTGGCCTCTGACACGGTGGTGGGGTGAGCTGGTGGCGGCTGGTCAATTCTTTAACCTTCACTCCTTCCCAACCCCTCGTTTCTGTGGTGATTATGTCACCCGCAAAACACTCTCTTTATCACCCGTTAGTGCAATTGGTGATATCATACTGACATATATCATCACATGGCACCTTAAGTAGTTTTTAGGAAAAGTGGAAAACCCTATGTCAAGTCCCTGAATTTGTTCAAGATTCCTGATTAAACCATTAGCTTTATTGAAGCAAATAAATTTATAGTTTTGAGTAATTTAACTCTTTCTTATAATAGAATTAATTTTTATTTGCACCTTACATGGACAAGGTTAACACCTACTATGCAAATAGTGATAAGTCAATACCTTATCCATACAAACAATGCATAAATGAATATTAAGTTTACCATAAAAAAAATTGTTAAATTGCTCAAATTGCCATATTCACATGTTTACCTATTTTAATAAAAATTTAAAAGTTTAATCGAGAATTTGAAATAAGTTTAAGGGTTTAATGTAAAGTCTTACCTAATTTTTATTGGCCCTATTCATTTGGTGGAACAAAAGGTAATTAGGATATGTTCACTTATTTTCTTTATCTTTAACGATTATGAGAATTTTTTTTTTTTTTTATAGTTAAGCAGGCATAGTGTTTTTGGACTAATTTATGTACAACTTAAGGCTAATTTCTTATTGATTTAGTTAAAAAGCAAGTTATTTACAATTATTTATGCATTGATTTCTTTTAATAATTAAATATTGGTCAATAAAGTGAGGATCAAATTCCCTTACTAGCTAAGGTACAATTCTTTAAGTTATTATAAGATTTCATTGTTAACAAACAAATAAACATTTTCATCATCATTGAGGATTCAGGCTTTATTTGTTAGTGCTTTGCATAAATCCTTTCTACACAACATTGTATTTAAAAATATAAATTTATGCTTTCTCTAGTTAGATTTAATTTTCTTAATTTGATTTTTGTATAAAGTTTGACCAGATAATTTTATATATTAGTCTTGTCTCGAAATAATTATCATTTTTTTAAAATTTATCTTAAATTAATTGTTATTTTTTCATTTTTCAAAATAAACAAAATTTTTTGTCTACTTTAATCCTATCATTATCTATTCATTTGAAGTAATTATCTAATCACAAATTTTTTTTTTTTTGTCTTTCATTTCTTTTTTAAGGGTATTATAGATAAATATAAATATTGTCCCTAAATTTTTAATTTGGAGAAAAAATCAAACAAATATAATTATTTTGGGATAGTAGGAGTAGTAAATAGATAAAAATTAGTTTTTTTCTATATGTAATTCTTGTTAAGTATTTTATTTAGGTAATTTTTTTAATTGTCATTTATTGACTACTCATAATTGTCATTTATTGACTACTCATCTATAAAATCACCAAGTTAATTTATATAAAATTAAGGAATTTACCATATGGAGTAATTGCTAATTAGTTTTAGTTAATTTTTATGCATTTTTAATACTTTTAATTAATATTTTATATATTCTTTGAAAGATTAAAAAAAAATTTATCTTTTCATTATAGAACTAACAAGCCTAAGTTATGTTGGTCAATATCTCACTTCTTCCCTCTTTTTTTTGGGTGAATTCATATAGGTGGTCCCAACTTCAATAACATTGACATTTTGGTCATCTAACTCATAACTCTCACAAAATGGTCAAACAACTTTGGAAGTTGCCTATCCATTGGTTTCCCACAATTTAAAATAATAGAAATTTATAGCTTAAAGTTCTTAGTGACTGAATTTTGGGGACAATAAGCCAGAAACCCCAATTTAGGAGATATTCTTTTAGACAAAGAAATAGAATTAAGATTCTCAAATATATTATTTCTCATTAAAGTAATCAAATTGTTAATTAGCTAACATGAAATTGGAATATAATAGTTGACTTATTTATTAACAAACGAAGCCTACACATAAAATATTTTCAAGTTGACTTTTTTATTCTAATGATGATGATGACATTAATAAAGAATTGTTTAAACAAGAAAACTTAACTTGTATTAACATTTTCTTCACTGCAAAAACTAATTGCTTACCTTTGTAATCACAATCTAACATTTCTATTAGCCTAAACAACATGGAGCTAATATATGAGCGATTAAAAGGTTGTGTGATTAATTTTTAACGGTTATGAATTTAGTGACTAAAATGATTTTTGACAAAGTTAGATTGACCATTTGTTAAGGTTATAAATTAAGTGGTCAAAATGTTGATTTTAGAAAAGTTGGATTACCACCCATGACTAAGGTATTATCTTTATTATTATTATTATTATTTTGAGTTTTTGTTTGCTGAGCTAAAACCTAATAAATACACTTTTTTATTACAAATATAAATTAAAAAATAAAAAATAATTTATTAATTTATTAATTTTCTAATAACACATGTTAGAAAAATGCTTTTCTTTCTTTTAAAACACGTTCAGCCATCCAGAGTTGAAGGGAGGAGCCGCCGACCTACCTACCCACCTTACCCGCGGGTGAAACAAATCTCCCTTCAGAGTTCAGACAGTCTCGTTTCGCCGTTGCTTCGTAGTCGCTTTTTCCCTTCTTCGATTTTGCTTCCTCTTTCTCGAAAACTCACCATATATATACACATTTCCAACTGCACCAAAAACATTCAACAAGATTCCTGTTGCATTCTAGATGTCCATGGCTTCCATTAACCTATCTTCGCGGTCAATAGCAGCTCTTTCTTGCCCTCAGTAAGTCCTTCCCTTTATTCGTAAATCTCCATTGAAATGGGTGGTTGGTTCTTCCCTTTATTCATAATTTTTTCACTGTTTGTAATTTGTAGTTTGCTGTATATATTTTTTCTTCATCCTGTGTATATATATATCTTGATTTTCTCCATCTGGGGTTTAGATTATGTTTTTTCAAAAACCCAAATTTAATTGTATTTGGTGTTTTGGAGATTGGTGTAGAATTGCTGTCTTATTTTGACCAATTGGGTCTATGTCGAATCATGAATCAGAAGTTAGTTTTTGTTTTTATAATTTCATAGTATTGCAATTTTATGAATTTGATGTATTTGATCCTTTGTTGACTGCTAAGATGTCCTCTTGGTTGCCGAGGAAAAGATGGCAGTAGAAATAAAACAATTTGATCAAGCAATGTTGTGGTACAAATTTTGCTTAATTTAAAGACATACAAGTTCATGAATCTTTTTTTTTTTTTTTAATTGTTTATTTTCTCTGTTTATTCATATTGTTAGCAGTCAACTAGATCAAAATGGTTTTTGGGGAATTTTGGGGTTCAAATGAAAATTGTGAATATCGTCTGTTGTCTCGATGAGAACAATGGTTTAATACTTCTTCATGACACTGCTCCACGCGCATTTCTTCTTGATCATCCTGTGACTAAAAAGTGACTAAAAAGTAAAATTTCCACCACTATGGATTAGATTCTGTTGCTATGTTTCATTTGATTAACTTGGTAAAATGTATACTGGACAATCAGAGTGGTTCCTATCCCACTTACCTCTTCCAAAGCCAATAAGTTGATATTGGGTATAAGCACTTTTCTTGGCAAATTAGCTACATCTACAATGTTATTCCCTGTTAAATAAATGCAGTTAGATATTTCTGCTAAATTGACCTACCAAATATAATGCAAACTAATAATATGTTCTTTAGGCTCTTAATTTCTGTATCTTGTTGGTGATATGAATTCTATAATGATCTTTCTTTCTGTGTAGAGCAAGCAAGGGCTATAAATTGTTCAATGGATCACCTAGTATGAATATTTTCTCTGTAAATGGCTACACAAATGAGTTGGCCTTCCTTCGATTGGGTACTAGATCACTGCCTGGTGTCAAGAGTGTGGGGAAAGCTAGAGCAGCAGTGGTATCTGGAGAAGGTGACCTTTTGTCCTATTCCAATGGAAATGCTGTGTCAAATGGTGCTTTCTTCAGTGATAAATCAGTTGGGATTGAGGCACAGCCAGATGCAATAGCATTTGGAACACTTGCAGCTGATACCATACCTATAGCTACTGGTTTTCCCATTGATAGTGATGAATTTGATTTGGATTGTCCCACTGAAGGTTTTTCTTCTATCCCTGAGGCCATTGAGGACATTCGCCAGGGAAAGGTTGGTTGTTTTCTTTGAACACTTTTTGTTACATAACTGGCAATACTTGTCTATCTCTTTTCTGTATATGTTTTAACTGATTCTCCATTGGTAATCTTAATTAATATTGCAGATGGTAGTGGTTGTAGATGACGAGGACAGAGAAAATGAAGGGGATCTGATAATGGCAGCACAGTTAGCGACACCTGAAGCTATGGCTTTTATTGTGAAGCATGGAACTGGAATAGTTTGTGTAAGCATGAAGGAAGAAGATCTAGAGAGGTTGCAACTTCCTTTGATGGTAAACCAGAAGGAAAATGAAGAGAAACTTTGTACTGCTTTCACGGTGACAGTGGTATGTTACTGTCCTAATTTTTTATGGATAATCTTAAAACAGTTGATAATTTCATGGAACCAGTAATATTTCTGTGAGAATAGGAAATGTATTTCAACATTTGAGATTTAATTGCTATAGCATGTATTTTTTAATAGCATTGCTGAAAATCATATTCAGGCTTTGGATCTGCATGCTAAGTGTGAGAAGTTTCCTTTGTCATGATGCATGTTGACCACTTATGATCATCAGTTATGGCATAAGAATTTGAAAAGCTAAAATGACAATTTTGGGTTTTTCTCCAAAATACAGTTATTTTGTCAATTTCTCTTTTGTATGATGGCTTTCTTTCTGTCATTTTTTGATGTTTTAATTTTACAATTTAAAATGTTCTTACTGTTGTTTGGCATGAATGAATTTTAGGATGCAAAACATGGTACAACTACTGGTGTGTCAGCTCGTGATAGGGCAACAACAATATTAGCACTTGCTTCTAGAGATTCGAAACCTGAGGACTTCAACCGCCCAGGTCACATTTTCCCACTGAAGTATAGGGAAGGTGGTGTTCTGAAAAGAGCTGGACATACTGAAGCTTCTGTTGATCTTGCCATGCTAGCTGGGCTGGACCCTGTTGCAGTTCTCTGTGAGGTTGTTGATGATGATGGTTCCATGGCTAGATTACCAATGCTGCGTCAATTTGCCAAGCGTGAAAACTTGAAAATTATATCTATTGCTGATTTAATCAGGTAAGTTAGAAGTCTCTGTGTAATTGTGTTGAACTGCACATTTTACTAATCTTGAAAGGATTGAATAGTTATAAAACTGTTTGAATTATCTTGCTAACTGGATTTTATGAAACTAATTTTGATAATTAACTTGCTTATTATAATAGTTTGGATATGCAGCGTCATCTTTCTCTGTAAAATTTGCCCATAAACTGCGTCATTTTATTTTCTCCAGTCTTTTTGCTTGAATTGATGATATGATTTACAGAATTTTCGTTTATATGGAGAACTTTCAATGCTAGGTTCTTAGCCTGAGCTCTGACCAGACATGAATTTTTTTATATGTTTTTAACATTTTGACTTGGGGTGTAAGGTAGTCTGATGCAACAAGGCAGAACAGGGGCTTATTAGAATTTTAAACCAATTCAGTTCAGTGTATGTTTCTGTCCTGACCATATTCATCAGCAGAGAGTCACATAATCCTAAACCTGACAAACAGGAGCTTGGCCAAGTTGGTAACCACTAACTTAAAACCTTGATTTGGGGTTCAAGGTCAGGGGTTCAAATCTGTGTGTTGCCAAGTAGCTAACTCTCGATGTGCCAAAAAGAGGAAATAAAAAAAAGAAAGAATCTGCCTTTGTCTGTAGACATCATTTAACATTCTGTTTTTCCTCTTTTACCTTCATTTTCTCTTTTCTTCATTATGGCTATTTTCATAGGCCACATAACTTGTTATAGAGGGTTCTCATAAGAAGACTGTTCTGATATTGATTTGATTTGCAGGTATAGAAGAAAGAGGGACAAATTAATTGATTGTGCAGCTGCTGCACGGATACCTACCATGTGGGGGCCATTTACAGCATATTGTTACAGGTCCATCTTAGATGGGATTGAACATATAGCAATGGTTAAGGTGAGTATTCTGTAATTTGTTACCTGGTTCTTGTTTCGTTTTTTCATTTTTCTATTTTTGACTCAATTTTCTTTCTCCAATCATTTTAGTCAGAAAGATCTTTATTACAAAATGCTGAAATGATGCCTGTCTGATTATTAGCCCAATATCAGTCTCTTGACTCATCTCATAATAAAAGTAATGCTTCTAGTGACAAATATTTAAACAATTTCAACTAATAAGAAAATTTCAGTTTCACCAAAATTTGAGGCATGGAGGCAATCACTTTATACATCCTGTAAGCAACCCAGGATGAGCTATTTAATTGCTGCTTGCCTGGTTCTCTACTTTTAATTTTATTTTAAAGTCTATGAATTGTCAACATACTTCTTTAATCTAAATTACATGCACATCCAAAAAAGACCATAATTGTCCTCTCTATCAAGTGATGCCTCAAAGATTAAAATAAACCGAGCTCACTTTATGGCTAGAAGTGGAATGTTAAAATCAGGTTCATAGATTGCATGTCAAACAAAATTATGGTGATTTGTTCATATTCAAATAAATACTGAATTGGGTGGCCAAAAAAATAAGTACTGAATTGAACTTGGTGTTTGCTTTAACATTCTCACTGTTCTTTTTCCCTAATAATTACACTCCTCAAAATAGCCTACTGAAAGTCATGAGATGACTTTATTTATAATGCATTCTTCATGTGAGGATTTTTGGGTTATATTTAGATATTGGCCTTTCCTGGTTTAAAAGCTTTCTGAAATGAAAATGATTTGATTCTTCTCTTTCATACAATCAGGGTGAGATTGGAGATGGACAAGATATTCTTGTAAGGGTACACTCAGAATGCCTCACTGGCGACATATTTGGATCTGCCAGGTGTGACTGTGGGAATCAGCTGGCCCTTGCAATGCAGCAGATTGAGGCTGCTGGCAGGGGTGTTCTAGTCTACCTTCGTGGCCATGAAGGAAGAGGCATAGGTTTGGGTCACAAGCTCCGTGCTTATAACCTGCAGGATGCTGGACGTGATACAGTGGAAGCAAATGAGGAGCTTGGATTACCTGTAGATTCCAGAGAATATGGTATTGGTGCGCAGGTACTTTACTTCTCCTTACATTATATATTAGAGTACTATGATTTGCAGTCAACAATTTTTCATTTTTCACTTAATCCTTCCAAATGCCACTTGAAAATGAAAATGAGGTGATTTTAGTAGTATAGGTGGTAATTGCCACCTCGAGGTTCAAATTTTGGACAATTTATTCTACTTTCAACATTAGGGGCCACATGTAAATGATTCTTGAAATGTCCAGTGTGTGTTGTTCAGCTGTGATTTTAATCCTGTCCTGTGACCTTAGATATCACTGCTGCTGCTTCCTCACTTTATTTGTGGTGTATTTTCCTTCTATTTCTCAAAGAAAGATGTGGCGCTTAAGTCTTGACTCTTCATTTCAGATGCTAAGGGACTTAGGTGTCAGAACGATGAAGTTGATGACAAACAACCCTGCAAAGTACAGCGGGCTGAAGGGTTATGGTTTGGCAATTGCAGGCAGGGTTCCACTTTTGACTCCCATTACAAAGGAGAACAAGAGATACCTTGAAACAAAACGTGCTAAGATGGGTCACGTATACGGTCGAGAATTTAATGGTCGTTTGAACAGTCTCATCAGTGGTGGCAATGGTAAACCAAGCATTAACTCTACATCTGATTCTGGATCCGAGTCCTAGGAGCTTCTGCTTGATTCAGATGTTCTGAGGGCATAACTCAAGTTCAAGAGGCAAGCTTCCTTCTCAACGGAAAGACGGCATTGTCTGACAAACTGATTAAAGATACAAGATTTTTTTTCGGCATTGTCTGACAGACTGATTAAAGGCACAAGATTCTTTTTTTTTTTTTTTTCTTTTCAATTTTATAACGTAGATGATCAATTTGATGTTATTTTTAGCATTCTGAGGAATTTCATATAAGTCCAAACGTTTTAACTCCTAAGGAAGAGCCATTCATTCTTGTTCTTCATAAGGTAACATCAAAGGAAGGGCCATTCATTCTTGTTCTTGATAAGAGGTGTAAATGAGGTGAAAAACTCATGTTCAAGCACATGTTGCTTATTGCCTGGCGTTCTTGAGCCTTTTGATAATTTACATGGCATCATTGTCCTTTTTTTTTTCTTTTTTTTTTTTTGTATTAACCTTCCGATATTCCATAATTACATTAAATCTTGAGTAACTCAAAATCGAACCGCGTCAGAACCATTAGGGGAAACTGTACTTGTTTTTTCATTCACAAGATTCAAATTTAAGATTTATTTAAGGAAAACCGAAATTCCTTCATTCAGATCAATAAGTTGTTGGTAGCAATATTTTCTTTTATTTAGTGAGATAAGGTTAAAAAATGCCATGTCATAGGTTTTTTTTATTTAACTTGGATATTATGATACATGGATAATTATTTTGTATAATTTTTTATATAATTTTTATATTATTATTAAATAAATTAATTTGTATATTATTATAAATTTCAGTAAAATAAAACGCATTAATTATTAAATAATA